TCATGTCTGCCTTGGGCCAACAATTTGGCCTGTCTGAGCCTCAAGATTCCTCATCTATAAAGGGGGAAATGACAGTAATTAATAATAATAATAATAACAGTAATAATAATACTTGCCCCATAAAGTTATTTTAGGATTAAAGATAACAGCAAATGTAAAGTACTGACTACAGTCAAGGACATAAGCTTAATTTTTCCTCACCACCGTCACCAGCATCATCACTATCATCACCGTCATCATCACCACCATCATCACCATCATCATCGTCACCATCACCACCGTCACCAGCATCATCACCACCATCATCATCACCACCACCACCATCACCATCACCACCATCACCATCATTATCAACACCATCATCATCATCACCACCATCATCATCACCACCATCACCATCATAGTCACCACCATCACCACCATCATCACCATTACGTCAACTTGTAATCAACCCTGCCATCCACAAGATGCCCACCCTGACTTGGTACTGTGCTTCCTCCAGGTGCACTAAAGGAGCAGTCACACTTTCTTCCTGCTATCACAGGGCAAGACACTATTCCTTGACTGGGGTTCCTGGGCCAGGAGTGGACATCTGGCTTTCGCTGGCCCATGCTGAATCTGTCTCGCATGATTCGATTCAGGAGTCCGTATAAGCAATGCTTGTGATGGGGAGAGAAGACTGCAACAGAGAGAACAAGAGCACAGAGGGCACAGAAGTTAAATGTTGACTGCAGGACTCAGAAGAAGGCAGACTTGAGCTCCAACACAGTGAGAAGGTGGCCATGACTGCAGGTCAGGGGGAGAAACTGAGTCAGCTGGGGCCTTGATTTTGAGCAATAGATACCACTACATAAGCCCCTTGGTCTGTGAACATTAGTTATGGCTGATCCAGAACCCGGTCACTTGGCAAGCCGTGAGTAGGTGGCAGGGGAGGGGGCTTGATTAGCAGAGTGTTTGCTTCACATGTGAGAAAGCCTGGGTTCAATCCCCAGCAGCACGTAACACAGACGTGTGCACACCTGTAAACTCAGGAGGATCAGAAGTTCAAGATCAGCCTGGGCTATGTGAGATCTTGTAAGAAACAAACAAGAAAAAAATCACTCGGGTGGGAAATGACATCAGCTTTGTGAACTATATGGTGTCTAATAGAACTGCTCAATCAGCCTGCCTGAGTGTCCGTGTTGATATAGAGTTATGGAGACCCTAAGTGGATGGCCATAGCTGTGTTACAACACAACAAAACTGTATAAAAACAAGTTAGTTTGTGTGACCCTTTTCTTAAAACAGCAGTTCAGTTTATTCAGAGACTGTGAATCAGAAGAGATTGGAATAGGAAGATTTCCTCTCAGGATAGTGTGTGTGCATGGTTCTTCCTGGATTCTGGTTGTCTCTGGGTCTCTGGGTCTCTCTCTCTCTCTGGGCTGTCTTACAGCAATGGCAACTGCCCTGAGCCCCGGCAGCTTCCCAAGAGTCCAAGGCTGCCACTCACTGCTCGAGAGCTAACTTCTGTTGTGTTTGCAAGCCAGTCGGGGTTCAGGGGACAGGAAGGCAGGGGTGGGAGGAGGGCTGACCACACACCAAAGAAGACTTCATAGGAGAGATTTTGCTTCGAGGATGAAGAGTATGGACGTGGTAAATACAGGTGACTCTAGAGGGTGGCTGAGTTCTTTTCTAAAATATTTATGCCTTTATTTTGTGTGTGTGTGTGCATCTGAGTGTCTGTATATATGTATATATGCCATATGTGTGCAGTACCTTTAGTGGCCAGAAGTGAGCATCTGAGTCCCTGGAACTGAGGTTGCAGGTGACTGTGAGCCATCCAGTAAGGATACTGGGAACTCAACCTGGGCGCTCTGCAAGAGCAGCAAGAGATCCTAACCTCTGAGCCATCTCTTCATACCCAAAGTATTGCATTTTAATAGGTGTTTCTCGACAGTCTGAAATAATTTCCTGTCAGTTCTCAGTTCTACCTTAATTAGAATTTCCTTCTGGGGACGAGCAGGTAACGGATCTCGAACCCATGACCTCCTGAATACTGGACAAGCGTTCTACCACTGAGCTAACTCCTCAGTCCCTCGGCTGAGTTCTTTCAAGGAGACAAGAGGCTCCTGTGGAGATAAAAAGGGGACTTTCTCTACACAGAGAAGCCAGAGCGCCCACCACCAGGTTACAACCAGAAAGCATCCTGGGCTTGGGAGAGACCAGAAAATAAACAGTGATACCTGAAGCTAGGAGGGCTGGGACCTCAACTGTCATTATTTTCCCACTAGCAAAGCTCTTACCCAGGAGGGCCAGACAGTCTTCTAGACAAGGAGTGTGTGACTCCACAGGAGGTCACAGAGGTTCGGTTTCCAGCCAAGCTCAGCACCCAAAGAGTCCGTGGAGGACTAAGGCTACAGCTCAGTGGTAGAGCACCTGCCTAGCACAAACACACAGAGCCCTGGCTTCATACCTAGGGAGAGGCTGCAGAATCCTGCTTGCGAGGGGAGCTTTGCCTCCTCCTTGGCTCTTGTCTGAAGTTGCTGGGTGGTATTGTGTTTAAATCACTTTGGCAAAATTCCTGTTAGATGCAATCAATACCTCCAGCTCTACTTTATGGGGGAAAACGGTTTCAAAGTGCACAAACATGCCTTAAAGATCTGCTCTCCAGAGAGGAGAGCAGGTCACTGTCTGAGCGACCCTGGGAGTGGGGGAGGAGGTGGGGTGTGCAGGGAAGGGTGGACAGAATGGCAGGGAGCAAGAGGCATACGTGATTGTGGGAGCAGTGCCCTGTATCTGGCTTGAGGCCATCACCTCTTCCCAGAGGGAATGTGTTTGCCATGCAGTGCTGTGCAAGCAAGGGCTGCCGAGTCAGCAAAAGGGGGCAGGAAATAAAATGATTCAGAAGACGCAGTGTGTTGCCAGAGTGGCAGCATGGAGGGGAAGGGAGCAGGTTGAGAGCCAGGTACCCCATCCCTACACCACAGTGACACACTCCCTCATAGTTATTAGATGCTGGACACCTGATCCTCACAGTGACCCTATTGGAACTGTTGCTAGCCCCATTTTACAGGTTAGGCAACTGAGCACAGAGACATAAAGTGGCTACCCCAAGCCACACAGCCTGGAAACTGGAATCAGAATTTGAACCCGCACCTCATTTGACCACATATTCACAATTGATGGTTTTTCATTTACAGCTAACAGACTCAGCATCCTTTTCCGTACCCACTTAGATGAACAAAACATACAGAAGCAAAATTAAACCTGAGGATAGCAAGCACTGTCTGGAAGAACGGCGATTCTGTGCCCCCCAGGCGCATGGCAGGACGTTGCCAACCTCTGATGAAGTCCAAGATGTGCTGCACCCAGCCGCCCACCATAGGCATTCAGAGGACCACCTGAAGGGGATGGGACCAGAGGGACAGAAAACCATGGACCTAGAGCTGGAACTGGCGCTTTCCCAAAGTCTTGGGAAGAAGAGAGACTGCCACTTGGCTGGTGATCTTTAAGGAGAGGATGTTGTGCCTAAAGCAGGAGGTTGGGGTTGAAATCTGGGGTTCTGGAAGTGCCCGTATGATCCTGAGAACTCTTTTAGCCGCTGGCGACTCCCTCAGTAGAGACCCTGGCTAGCTGCAGGTGCCACTCCTTACTGCTTCTGCTCTCAGCCTGGGACCCCTCCGCCTGGGTCGCGATTCTGAGCCTAAGCTGTAAAGGGCCACCTATCACCACCAGCTCCTAACTAACCCTTACTTTGTGAAGCTGTAAAGCCATTCGACACCCCCCCCCCAGCCCACTACACCACCCATGGCCATTCCCTGTACGCTTTCCGGGAGTGCAGGGGATGCGGGCTCCTGTCTTCGGATTGATGATCCAGGAAATGCACTTTCAATTAGTCCCAGGATGCTGAGGTCCAAGAATCAGACAGCATCTCTTGATGGGGGTGGGTAATGAGTGGAGAGTGACCTAGTAACGCGGAGTAGGGACCCCAACGAGGGAGTGGGGGGAAATACCTGTTGGCCAGGGTACAGGGTGCACAGGATTTGGGTGGCTTTGCTCCAAGATGCAAACGTGTGGCCCAACTTTCTATTAATCTTTGGAGGGGGCTAAACGCTGTTGCTAAAGGCGTGTTTTCCGAGGTGAGCGCCACCCTAGGGACCACCAGTGGTCCTGAAGGAGGAAGGAGGGAGTTGCGTGTCACTGGGAGAAACCACCTGTGGTTTCCAGGAGCCTCGCAGTCAAATCGTGGCCAGCGCGGGCCGCGGTGCTGGCATCTTCTGAGCTGACGGGGTGGGGACCGCGCGGCCCTCCACTGCCTGCGGCGCCCGCGACTCCTCCCGGCTCCTGGCCGCGGCGTGCGCTCGCGGTGCCCGGTTCCTTCCCGTTACGCAGTTCCTGTCCCTTTAAATCCCAACCCCTGCCAGGGGAGGCTGGGGCGCGCCGGCCGGACCCCGGGCCGGGGGAGGGGCAGGGCGCCCCGGGGTCCCCGCGTGCGCGCGCGCGGCCGCCAGCGCCCCTCTCCAGGCGGCCGCGCGCTTGCCGGGGCCCGGAGCGCACGCCGCCGCCGCAGTGCCGCCGCCCGGCCCGGCCGGGATCGGTGCAGCAGCGCGCGCCGCCGCCCGCGGGCCCCGCCGCCCGGGCCTGAGCCGCGCCCCGCGCCCTCCCGCTCCCGGGGCGCGCGGCGAGGGGCCCTGGCGGCGAGGTGGAGCCGCGGGCACCAGCCGCTCCCCCGCCCTGCGCCGCCCCTCCCCCGCCTCCTCCCGGTCCTGTCTCCAGCGGGAGCGCGAGACGCTGGTCAGGCTCCGGCGCAGCTCGAAAATGAACAATCGCCGCGGGCGGACCTAGACGCCGCCGCCGGTCCGCGCGCGGGGTCGCGGGCGTGCTCCGTCCGCCCCCACCCCCCCGAAAAGAGCATCGCAACAAAAAGCCAGCCAGCCAACCAAGACTCCGGTTTGTTGATCGCCTTGTTTTTTTTTTTTTTTTTTCTTTCACCGCTTGCGGGATTCGCAAACCGCGTTACATGCATGTCCAGTGGGGGTAGGTTTAATTTTGACGATGGAGGGTCCTACTGCGGAGGCTGGGAGGACGGCAAGGCGCACGGCCATGGCGTCTGCACCGGCCCAAAGGGCCAGGGCGAATACACCGGCTCGTGGAGCCACGGCTTTGAGGTGCTGGGCGTCTACACCTGGCCCAGCGGCAACACGTACCAAGGCACCTGGGCGCAGGGCAAGCGCCACGGCATCGGCCTGGAGAGCAAGGGGAAGTGGGTGTACAAGGGCGAGTGGACGCACGGATTTAAGGGGCGCTACGGTGTGCGGGAGTGCACGGGCAACGGGGCCAAATACGAAGGGACCTGGAGCAACGGACTGCAGGATGGCTATGGCACGGAGACCTATTCGGATGGAGGTAGGTGAGGGCAGCGGGGGCGGGGGAGGAATGGGGACCGTCCCCCTCTTTCTCCCTCTGTTTATCTCCCGGGAAGTTGAGCCTCGCCTTCCAATTGGGCTATGGGCTCCTGGGGCATCTCTTAGGTTCCCAGGAGGCCTCAGCGGGCCCCTGGCCACAGGTTGCCCCACGCTTGATGGGGACAGTGGCCCGTGCCAACCCAAGGGTTGGGGGCTCTCCAGCAGCAGGGCCAGGCCCCTGCTGCAGCAGCTGAGCCAAAGTCTCGGCTTATCCTAAGGAGCAGGCCTGAGATGTGCACCTGCCGGAAGGCCAGGCCGGGCTCTCTGCCACCTCTGGGACCCGCTAAGGCAGGAAGGGTCTGAAGATAGACCCTTCCCCTCCCTGTAGTGTCGCCCGCCTGGTGTCCCCAGAGTCAGGCCCCGCTTAGCTTCTTGTTTTCCTGCGGTGCCCAGGGCCTCCCTCAGTCCTAAAGCAACCCAAGCCAATGGAGAGGGAGCGCTGGGAGCGCCGGAGGCGGGGGATGCCGACCAAACCAAACAGCAAGGCAATAAACTTCTAGGTGGTTGGACACAGGCTGTCGAAGCAGGCTGCTGGAGGGAGGGAGGGAGGGAGAAGGCCCATCTGTTTAGCGGGAGCCCAGGAATCTGGCCGTTCAGCGGCTGAATCATTTTCACCTTTAGTTTGGGGATTCGCTCTGCGCCTCCGGTGTAAGATGCCACCACAGTCCGGGTAGAGCCGGTGCTGAAAGCCAGGAAACTGCTAGTGTGGTGATTTCTGTTCAGAAGTCCTGGCTGGCTTGGCAGCCTCCACCTTATCTGGACACTCCCGTGCCCACTCCTCAGCAGTGCTGAGACCTCCGCAATAGTTAGAGGTCCTGGAAATCAGACCCCCAAAGCCGACTCTGCCTGGAGCCCGCCCCCACCCCCTGGCGCTCATCCCAAGAGGCTGTTCTCTTGCCTCCCTCTGGGCCTGGGCGGGTTCGGATTTTTCGGGCATGGATGCCTGGGAAGGGAGTGAGATGCAGCAATGACTTGGGCTTCTGCCGGAGATCCAGGAGATCCGATGGAGCCTGTGTGTGTTCTCGGTGCCTGAAGCCAGCTCCTGCCTGAAGCCAGCACCTGCTCCCGGACACATCTAGGAGTGATAAGGGCTGGAAAGTAATTATTATTTTGGCTTATGCAACTGAAAGGCAGGGTTCGTTATTACCCGAAGAGGAGGCGGAGTCTGGACAGTTAATTATATAATGCTCCTGCCTGTCTGCGCCTTGCCCAGCCCTGGTCCCAGGTGGCCTTTTCTGTACTGTTGTTTTCGTGGATTAGGCTGGAGAGTTTCCCTGACCCTGGGGCATTGAGGCCCTCCTGAGGTTCCAGGTGTGTGTGTGTGTGTGTGCGCGCGCGCGTGTGTGTGTGTGCGTGCACACGCACGTGTACTCACACAGTCTTGGTTAGGTCCTTGCAGCAGGTGTGGGTGGCCAAAGTGGGTGGTCGAGCAGCCTGGTGTTCCCAGCAGGGATCCTTAACAGACAGTTGTGGCCCAGAGCGGTCAACACTCAGGGCTCTGGATAGACTGTTTTGCAAAACTGTCTTCTAGGGGTTTCTGCTCTGGAACAGCTGTCTTGGTGCCCTGGGGTAACTGGACCTATCAGAAAGGGAGAATCCCAGAACACTTGAGGGTGGGGCCCTGTACCCAGGCCTGCCCACACCCACATCTATCTCCATTGGCTTAAAGAATTCTTACCTCCCCATCAACAAATGTTTATTGAACACTTACTATGGCCAGATGCTGTAAGCTCTGGGAACTCAGAAGCAGGAAAAGCAGGCATGATTTTTCCAAGTGTTCACTTAGGAGGATGGTAGCGATTCTCCATGGGGAGTTGGGAGCAGGCACTGGGTCCTCCAGGGACTCAGAGCCTGGTGGGCTGAGAACATCCCATAGATGATTTCCTGGGGATCTTGGCCCTCTCCTGGGAGCTTTCCAAGCCGTTGGCCTCCTGTAGTATTCCCTGCTCCCAAATCCTCCCTGATCCAGCCTGCTTCGAAGGTGAAGTAAGTCAGTCCAGGGTTGTGTGTGAGCGGAGGTTCAGAGCCTACCCTTGTAGCAGAGCACCATGGGTCTGGGACCACGATCCCTTGTTTCTCATGACCCAACCTTGCCCGGGTGGCTCCTTTTGTCATGCACCCCTCAAGACGATCACAGTTCTTAGCACTTTCCGTGAGTGCATGGCAGGCATGTGGGTCTGGGCTTCAGGGCCAGTTCCCCAACTCTTGGCTGTTGGCAGAGCCAACAAGCTTGACCTCAAGCTTGAATGTTGACAGAGCATGACTGACCTCAAGCCGGCCCTTCCTGCTCTGGACATTTAGGTACAGGTGTCCAGATCCAATTTTCTGAGCATGATCAGCTTTTTGTTAGGAAGGGGTAATTTTTGGGACACCCCCACCCAGTTCCCTGAGGAAATCCTTTTGTGAACTCTGGCTGGGGTGTGATCAACTGCAGGAGAGGGTCAAGGCCTGGGAACCACATCCTCTTACCTGGTGGGCACACGGTCCTCAGTTGAGGATGACTGGTTCTCTTGAGTGACTCGTCCCAACTTCAGCACACCTCAGGCTTTCTACAGAGTTGAGAGTTTGGGGCAGAGGTGAGCAACATAACTCCACAACTTTTGCTCTGTGTCCAAGGCTGACTTGGAGAAGCGGTGATTGCCACGAGCAGAAAATGTACTCTGCCTTCAGCTGCACTTGGTACGAAATCCGCTTCAACTAGGGACACTTCTGCCAAGTCCTCCTCCGGCTTGCCCTCCCCCAGGCACAGTTAGGCATCGCTCCTGATGTGAGCCCAGGGAGCGACTCCTGAAGTCCATATGAGACCCCAGGGACAGGGTGGGGGCCACAGGAGGACAAGCTTTTGGGGCATTGGCCACTTGGCCTTGAGTCCTGGTCTTTCTAAGGATCTGCTTTGTGACTCTGGGCAAGTGGCTTAACCTCTCTGAGCTTCTGTCCGTTTGTCTTTGCAAAAGGATAGTACCATGGAGTGGGCGAGGATGAGCTGAGGGTGGAGTCCCAGGCTCTGCCAGGGACAAAGTGGGCATTCGTTTTATTTTTCCAGTTCATGTGCAGAGAACATATCTGTGAACAGCTCCTGGGAGAACAACACAGGCAGGTCTGAGGTCACGGTACAGGTGACAGTCGGAGGTGACAGCAGATATTTACCGTGTCTCTTACACTTCCCATGTCACACCCTGGGCAACAGGGACTCGGAGCCAGGAGCCTTGAGGAGAGCTGGGACTCTAAGTTAGCTTTTATTTGCTTTGCCTTTTTTATAAACTCCCTTTGTGAACTGCCGGCTGCCTCTCCTACATCCACGTTTCCCATGCCGGGGGCAGCACCCTGGGTACATGCAGATGTCTGCTCTGGCACCCATCACTGTTGTTGCATTGAGACCCTGGGACCTCCTTTCTTTCTGAAGATAAACAAGGCTTCCTCTGGATGCCTTGGACCAAAAAGTCAACCCCCCCCCCATAAACCCTCCCACACTGAGAGATGAGTCATCGTACGCCCCGGCCTCCCCACTCCCCATACGAGCAGGTCCCGTTCACCGGCCCAGATTCCACAGCCCACACACATCACACACACCCACAGTAAGAACTCAGATCCACCCAGGCGCCTGCGCACGCGCACACACGCACACGCGTGCACAATACACCTGCCACCCTCGGATCTTCCACCCTGTCCCCCGAAGCAGCCACATGTATCTCTTGGCTTTGTTTGCTCTGCCATAGCTGAGGGCTGGGAGTCCCTGCCGCCCTGTAAATGTGGAGTTCTCTTGAAAAGGTGGTGCAGCTGCTACCATTTTAAACGTAAGCCTCTGGCATTACTGCCCCTTGTGAAGAGAAACTGTTATCAGACAACACAAACGGAACCCAGGGCCTTGCTGTGCTGGGTGGACATTGCCGCCGGACACTGCCGCCGAGCTCTGTCTCCAGCCCCTTTTCACTTTTTTTTTTTTAAATTTTATTTTGGATAGGGTCTTGCTAAGTTGTTTAGGCTGGCCTTGAACTGGTGATCCTCCAACCTCAGTCTCCTGAGTGCTGGGGATTCCAGGTCCGCGTTACCATGCCTGGCTATGTAAACTACCTTCCATGCTGGACTGCAAGGGAAGCCTTGATCGAAAAACTCTAGACTAAGGGGCCACAACCAGCCCATCAGCCCATGCACACAGAAGTTCTACCCTGGACTCTGTGTCTCTCTTCACTGCTGAGGCAGGGGGATGGTGACAGGCTCTGTCAGGTGGAAAGAGCAAGAGAGCCGACGACTAGTTCTGTGTTCCAGTTATAGCTGAGAAAGAGGGGTCAGTGAGAGGTGTTCCCTCCCCCACCCCAGCCCCAGCTGCTGGCACTGGGGCCCTGATGTCAGCCTTGAGGGTCAGCATTTCCCTTGAGAGTGGTATCCAAGAGTGCCTAGCGTGGAGTGTCAGGTGACCTGAGGTGTGAGGACCTGGGCTAGAGAAAGGGTGACTCTGGAGGAGGTAGTGCTAGTGTCCCAGATGAGGACACGTCCTCCTCAGCACCCTAGGACTCCACAGTTCTTGGTGTGGCTCCTGGGCTATGCTTGCCCGCGGTCTCCGTAGGAGCCCCTCCCTGCTGGCTGCGGAGGAGATGCCACTGCATAAGATTCTGGGCTTTTTTTGGCATAGTTGTTGTATTTTATTCCTTTTGGGACAGGGGCTTACTGTGTAGCCCAGGCTGGCCTGATGTTCCCTCTGTAGTCCAGGCTGGCCTGATGTTCCCTCTGTAGCCTAGGCTGGCCTGATGTTCCCTCTGTAGCCTAGGCTGGCCTGATGTTCCCTCTGTAGCCCAGGCTGGCCTGATGTTCACTCTATAGCCCAGGCTGGCCTCATGTTCACTCTGTAGCCTAGGCTGGCCTGCATCCTTCAGATATCCTTATGCTTCCGCTCTTAAGTAGAGATCCCTTTTTAAAAATGCTTAGCAAGTTTTAAATTTGTCA